AGAAATGAGAGAATGAGAGAAAGGAAGGAAGGAAGAAGGAGAGAAGAGAAAAGAAGAGAAATGAAATGAAATGAAACGAAACGAAAAAGAAAATTTTGGAAGAATGATTGTGGAACTGAAATGCAGGGGAATGGACTTGTAGTGGGGATGCAGGTAGCTGAAGGAAAGTTAAGCAGAAGGTGCTTCAGGAGACAGAGATATAGGACCCTGAAGAGAGGTGGGATACAAAAGAAAAAATGTCTCAAAACACTCTAATGACAACCCATATGCCTATCAACAGATGAATGGAGAGAAGAGATGTGATATATACACAGTGGAATATTATGCAGCCACGAAAAGAAGGATATCCTGTTATTTGCAATAACATGGATGGACTTTGAACACACTATGCTAAACAAGGTAAGTCAGACAGAGAAAGTACACTATGACATCACTTGTACGTGAAATCCATGAAAAGGAAACCTATAAAAAACAGAGGTGGTTACCAGGGATGGGAGTGGGGGGATAAGATTGATAGGTACAAACTTCTACCACTAGTAAATAAGCCATAGAGATTTAATACACAGTATGCTGAATATAGACAATAACATTATACAATAATTATGCAATGCAATAAATATGACTAGAACACCAACCGTATTACAAAATACAAATGCATCAAAGTAACATACTGCACATCTTTAAATTTACACAAAGCTGCATGTCAAAGTTATTTAATTAAAAAAACACTTTGATAATAAAAAGCAAACAAAACAAAACAAACAAAAAAACAAACAGACAAAAAAAAAGTAACAACTTCTATATCTGCAGTGGTTGGCAAACACTGCAGGGCATACAATCTCTGCTGGCTGTTGGAACTACTCAACTCTGCTCTTCCAGTGTCAAAGTCGCCATAGAAAATACATGTAAATGACTGCATGTAGCTATGCTCATTAAGAGCCTTTATTTACAAAAACAACTAGCTGGCTACAGACTTGATCTAGAGAAAGTCAGTCACTAAATTGATAAATATAACATTTATGAGGCACTGAATATAGTTTCAGCACTTTCAAATTAGCAAATTGTATTTATTTCTTTTATCTTGATGTCAGTTTAATGGTAACAAATTGAACAAAAATGTCTCTACTTCTATACTTAAAAAAGAAAGCCAAGTAAAATCCAATATTGTTTTAACCATAGTCTCTAAAGACAAAGGCAAGTCACAGATACAGAAAGATTTCTACACTGACCAAATGATAATAATTTTGTATTACATAAAACACTTGTCAAACAGAACATTAAAAAAAAAATTAATCCATACAACCAAAAAGTATGGTAAAATAAAGATGTTTGCGAGTAGGATTGAACACTAAAAAATGTATATGTATATATATATAAATACAAAAAATACTATCATTGTAACAACATGAGCTAAGTAAAACTCAAAAAATCAAAGCCATTCTTCACTATATTAAATATACAAATAAGCCTAAATTCAGCTTAAAATCTTGACTAATATTCCAGAAATAGTCTACTACCAAAAGCTATAAGTATTCATCAGAGTACAAGTCTCTAAAAAAGCCTGGAATATTTGAGATAAAAAAGAAAATTTTAGTCTTATACATCAAAATAAGATAATACTTCATTGCTAGACAAAAGTTATCAATACATGGCTAAACACCAAATTCAACCACACGCCAGCCCATTTCAATTACTGTGACACATCCAAATGACACATTATTGTTATAATTAAAGAATCACCTGAAAGCTGACAAATTTAATTCCCAGGGATTCTAGATTTAGGAATAGAAAGTCATTCTGCAAGTGTTTGACCTCTGTACTTTGCCTACAATCACATTCAGCTTACAGGAAAGAAAGAGAAAAGGAAGGGGCAGGACAAAGTAAAGTGTTAATAGCAGAAGTAAGAGAAAAGAAAAGAAACATAGCACCAGAAAAATTTACCATCATAATGTCAAATGCATTAACACAAGCCAGAATCAAATATATAAAGAAAAACATCTTTAGGCTTATTGAATAATTTATGTTCCATCCACAGTGGAACTAAACCGTGTTATCTAAAACCTTTTTCCATAACACTTATAATCAAGACCACTTCTTGGTCTGCCAATGAAGAGAAGTTTCCTTCTTTCATTTTAAGAATACTTCTGATATGAGGTGGTGCTAAAATCAGTATCAAGGCAAGAGATGGAATTCCACCTAAATGCTTCCTTGGAAAACTGCTGTTAGAGAAGTGACTCTGCTCTGTGACCTTAAAGATACATCAGGATACATAAGTGAGCAGAGAAGAGTTGTTAAAGACATTGGCTGTCAAGAAACTAGAGAAACTTTAATCCTTTAAATAACATTACAGATGATAACGAGTCACCCACCCACAAAATGCAGAATGATATAACCGTTCACGTTATCAAACAAGTTGGATTTTTTTTCATACGTTATTAAAAACAAAAAGGACTCGGAACTCTCATTAGGACACTCATTATTATCAATGTATAGCTTTTAAATAAACAAATGTCACAATTCTTAACTAATGAGATACAAATAAAACGCACAGAGTGCTTAATAAAATGTTTTGCAAATGTATATTAGGTTATATAATTTATTGTTCTTTAAATGTATTATTTGACATATTTATAACATCTCACACTTGCTTCTTATTGTAATGATGTAAAATTTGGCTACTAGAAGCCAATTAGGCCTATAGAAAGCTATTATAGTTATTGGTTAAAATATGCTGCAGCTGTATTCCAGTAATTCTAATTTATACAAATATTTTTAGGCAATCTAAATCAATTTCATTGATTTAATAATCCAAAACAAAAATATCTGGGGCAACAAAAATCTAATACAGCAGACATACAATTATGTGTAACATTTTATCAAAACAAAAAACCCAAATGTATATTTAATTATCAAAACAGGTTGAATTAAAATTATATATAAGAGTATTTGAGCACGAGAATTAAGGGTTACTACATTTAAGTGTCTAAGATACAGAAATTAGCATCAGACTAGGCTCCAAATTTATGCCCCAAATCTACCCCCAAACCCAATTAACTAATGACAGCAATTTTAAAATTTAGGGTTATTTTAACATCCTAAAATCTAAAGTAGAGACTCTCTAACTCTAGCGTGTTAAGAAGCACCCACGTTATTTGTAGGACATACAGACCCTTTGGTGCCACCTTCAGAATTACAATTCAGGAGGTGTCAGGAGGTCTTGGGGGAGATATGACCAATAAACCTGCAGCTTTAGAACCCTCGGATAATGACTCTGATATGAACCTAAAGTCTGTAAAATGGAGCTAGAAAAAAAAATAAACTGACCCGAAATGGCAGTTCCCCAGCCCCATAGCAAACCTTAGAAATCATATATAAGATACTTTTTTTTTTATGAAGTAATAGCAACGATTTCCTAGGGGGTGAGTGGGGCAGAAGACTGACTGAAAAGGACAGGAGGAAACTTTCTGGGATGATGACAATGTTCTATATCTTGATTTACAGTTATACAGATGAAACTAGTGGATGGCAAACCACACAGCCAGTCTCCAACCTACACTCCCTCACCTGCCACCAGCACAGATGCTTCCTATGTGCCTCCCACAGCCTTGCTTACAGCAGATGCTGACGTAGTTACAATCAGTCAGACAAAATCAGGATGCTACTGCAGGACTCTGGGAAAGTATTCACTTTCCT